TTAACAACCATCACTGACTGTCATTATTGCCGTTCTCGCCTTCGAACCACCGAGCCATCACTACTGTCGTCAAATCGACAACCCCTCGCCGTCGTTTTCCCCTCTCCAAAAACAACTAAATAATCTAATAATTTGAGATTAGGGTAAGAGATTTAGGGATTTGGGTTAGGGATTTATGTTTAGGGATTTAGGGGGATTGAGATAACGACAAGAGGGATGGTCGGAGGTGGAGGATCGATGATGGGTGGACAGTCGTTCGACAATGTCAAAGGCGGTTGGTGATGGTTATGGGGTTGGAATAAAGAATTTCAAGGTTTTGGTTTCTTTTTGTAATTTCAAAAAATTATGGATTTTTGTAATTTAATAACATTTTTGTGTTTTTTAGTTTGAATAAAAAAATTAAAATAATCCGATTGTGACACATGTCACTTAACGGGAGAAATTAACGCCATTAACGGCCCGAGTACCTAAAGTGGTAACGTTTGTAACGTTATGCATTGAGATGAGTCAAAAATAGTTTAGGCATCTATTCGAGAAAAGTGGTATATTTGGGCACTTATTTTGGTATTAAGCCATTTCTAAACTAAGGTAAGTGGAGGGATTAAATTCCTAGAACTAAAGTATAGAAACGCGAACTTTCAAAAGTCCAAAGAATAAAAGGACCGGCGCATAATTAAACCAATTTCTTGTTCTTTCCGGTTTTGGTTTTGAATAAAAGAAATCCATTCTTCTCCATAATATTGACTCACCTATATGGGCTATGGCGGCCACTTTAATTTCAAATAATTTAATTTAAATCATTTAATTAATCAATTATTAACGAACCAACATGTTAACAATGCGTATAATTAAACTAAGGATAAATTATACCATAGGCCACTGAATTATGTAAACAAATCATCTTTCCAGTCATATATGTTCAAATATTATAAATCGATCATTAAACTTCCTAAATGATTACAAACGGTCCATAGAACGTTAAAATAGCAATAAGTTCTGACAATTTTAAGGATTATTTTGTATCTGGTCGATAAATTTCATTGGTCATTTTATAATCGTTTGAGAAGTTTAATAATTATTTTGTAATATTTGAAAGGTCATTGACCAAAATATCATTTTTGCATAGTTAAGTGATCTCTAATGCACTTTATCCTTAAATGAATAATCCTACTATGCTGCTGGACCAGCCCGGCAGTCAAATTAAACGCCTGCCAGCCTTCAGATGAATTGACATTTCTACACTACGTTTAGATTAATATTAAATTAGATGACCATAAAGTTAGTTTAATATATATATTTTTATTAATTCGGGGTACGAACAAAGTCGTATATGTTCAAAGATAATTCTCAACCATTTGACATTGAACGCTTACACTCCCGACATTGTTGGTGCTCAAACCCAATACTTCAAGGAATAACAACAATTATTTTACCATCGGGGTAGCTTGGTTCGTGTAATATATTTTCGTTTTGTACGAGGAGGTTATTTTGTATTCTATAAGGATTGAGTTAGAAATTTAAAATTACTATATTTTGTTTTGAAAAAAATATAAAGAGTATTCAAAAAAATTTGAAGTGTCATTGGGTATCCAAAGCTTGTGATTACCTCAAAAGTGATGTGCTCGATTAAGTTTAGGGTTGGAATATAAAACTTTATGTGTGATTTGTTCTTTGCATTCAGCAAAAAGGCACATTCGGATAGGTATTGGCATCGCATATGATTTGAGGGACCAAAAACAAAACAAAAGTAGGCGTTTGTTTGATTCTTTTATTTGATGGACATCGGAAAAAAAGGTTTATTTCAAAAGTACTTAAATTATATTACATTTTTCATTTAAGTACCTGAAATATTTTTTTGATCAAGGTATGTACATAAAATATACTATATTTTTTTGTCTAGGTACTTAAAGTGGACACGTGACTAAGAATAGTCATGGGTCGGATCGAGTTTTTGTGTGTGGATAAATCATCAATTTTCATTACCCAAGTAACCAGTCTGTTACAAGAACAGAACCTGCTACAAACAGCAGTGTTCTGTTATAGAAGCATTCTACTTACAAGAAGAATTAAGAACAAGAAATATCCCAGTGCTTACAAAGGGAAAAATTAGCAATATCATTTCGATTTGTTTTCCTACCCCTCAGTTGAAAGCGAACGACGTCCTTAATGGCAAGGAATAGCTCTTGAACTTTTCTGGAGCAGCCTTTGAAGATCCTCTTATTTCTTTCTTCCCAGAGAAAGTAGATAAGGGCGTTAAGAGCAAGTTTCATAATCGAAGTTAGCAGTGATTTTCCTTTTCAAGTAGAGCTTGCCCACACAAAGAATTCATCCCAAGAGCTGATAGTAAATTGCAGACCAGAGTGGAAGAAAACTGAATTCCGTAATTGTTATGCCATAGGACATTGGAGGAACAAGTGCTCCCTTGTTTCCAATTGAGCATTGCAGAAAACACAATGGCAGTCATTGATAAGCCCAATTCGATGGAGTCTTACCTTCGTAGGGAGTCTATCAAGTAGTGCCATCCAAGTGATTAAACTGTGTTTAGGGATGTGAAGAGGGAACCATATTAATTTCTGCCATGGGACTTGAGGTCTCTTATCACGAATAACATCCCAAATGCGGATCGAGTTTTTTGGTTCACTCGAATAAGATTTTTTCATACTAAACATGAACCCAACCTCGACTCTTCAAAAAAAAACTTCACCCAAACATGATTTTTTTAAATTACTCATTATATTTTAGTCACTTAGAAGAAAAACATGGTATATTTCATATACTTATTTTTAAAATAATACAAAACAAAAACAAATACCCTTCAAAGTAAAGTTGGTCTCTTCTAATTTTAAATTTAAATATTAAATGAATTTTTATAATTATAAAATTAAATAATTTGACATCTCCCTATGTTGAGAATTAACTTTTAATGAGTAATTATTATTAAATAAAATTGTTGATAATTTGTCCCAAAAGATATTATTTGCTTCACACATGGATAAATCTAGGCAGGACGGGTGAGGACAGTCGCTCCCTAAAAACCTAAAATTATCATATATTTTAAATTTTTTAATTTTAGATTTTTTCTATGTATTTTCTATTGAAAATATGTTTTCGCGTCGTTGGATTCTAGTTGGTATATATATATATATATGAAATAGGCAGCCTGACCTAATTCATTTATGTGACAAACTGATTCATTCAGTCATTGTGTTTAATTGCCTGTTGGGCAATTGTTGAATAAATTGGTTGTCATAATTACTATCTTAAAAATATATCTAATTATTGTTCAAGAAATGTCTAATTATATATGTGTCAAATTGTTCTATTAGTCCCTTATATTATACTCTAATTTGATGCTTGTAGTCCATGTATTACAAGACAGTTCATATGCTTTAATTTTGTATTTGTGGTCATATGATTTAAGTTGTAGACATGGATAGAACTGGATCAAATATCGGGAGAGACTAATTTACTTTGCAGTAACATAATAAGAGTTTATTAGGTATTTAAATCTAAAAATTAAAAGAAAAAATATTTATTTGACTAATATTTAAATTAAAAAAGGCTTTGATTATTATTATACCAAAAAATTTGGATTAAGTTATCGTTCTCTAATTCAATCATTTTAAGGTGTGATTTAATCACATATTTCTATAGAGTTTGAGTCATAACTTAAAAATAAAAATTTAAAAATTATAATTTGTCAAAATGTATTTTTTTAATAAAAACTGCTAGTTTTATTAAAAGAAAAAAAATATAGAATTACAATTAATGTTTAGAACCATGACAACAAACTAAACATGTAATTAAGATATTTTTTATACTCATTGATACAATAAACTAGCCACTTTAGATCAAACAAAGACCGAGTAAGGAAAAGGTTAAAAACTCAATAAAAATACTCGAACAAAGATAGATGCGAAAAGATCTTATTGCATCGGAAAATATACACAAATAGGATCAAAACTATTGAAAGACCACATATATCTAGAGTTTGAATAAAATCCAACCACATATATCTAGGGATGACAACGAATCGAGTTAGGGTCGAGTTTTTGGTCAATCCGATCCGACTCGAAAATATGTATATTCCATTTGAACCCAATCCGACCTAAAATATTTTATATTTTACATCTGACTCGACCCGACCTGAGAAATATATATCCTTCACCGACTCCAACCCTACCTGATTTTTTGGAGTATAAATCTGATCCGACCCGATATAAATTAAGGATTTAATTAAAACAATATTTTTTTAAAAGAAAATTACAATATTGTTCTCAGATTGGGTCGAAGTTTTTTCACCCTCTACCTGACCAAACTTCACCCCTTAAAAAATCCGACATAATATGAACTAACATCTTAAAAAAAACCTCGAACCTACCGGGTTAGAACTCGTCAGATACTAGTGAAATTGCCATCCTACGCATATCTAATTATTTAAATCTTAATTAAATGTTTATTAATGGTGTATATCAATAAATGTTGATTGACGATAAATTAACGTTTCATAATTTTTACGGATATTTGTGAAATTATTTTATTATTAACAAAATATCGAATATATATATATATATATATATTACTTTTGTATTGATTTAAGATTATTAGATTAATTTTTTTTACTAGTAGAACATCAAATTATTTGATTGATCAAATTAAAAAATTAATGCTCATATTAAAATCCCACCATATTTAAGTGATCATGGGTGTAGTTAATAAAAAAATAAGGGCTCAATTGAAAAAAATAACAACATTGAGCACTTCTTCTACTATTATGCCAAAACAAAAAAGCATCGTATGCGTCTAGGTAAGTTTGTTTTCATTTTTTTTTCTTTCCCTCAAATTAATACAATAAAACAAATAAAAAAATATCAACATCTACCTGTCTATTATCATGGCAGAACTCAGGTTTAGTTTAGCCAAACAACCCCTAATTATTACATAATCTTTGCCACTGTCTGCTCCTATAAAATCTCCATATCTTATCATTGGTGTTCTCCCCCAACAACTCAGTTTTCTTTTTGAGTTCATTACTGCGCCTCAAAGAGACACAACAAAGGTTCCTTAGTTTACCCTTAATTCCTTTCTTCTCTCTATATATATTTAGGATGTAATATTTGTTTAGAATTTTTATTCGTCATTAAGATCGTATACATATATGGTAGACATATCCGTCTTAACCCGAATCTTTTAGAGAAAATAATATTTATTTTTATTATTAATATCACTCTATAGTTCCTATATATATATATATAGGGAGAGAAATGGGGTTGTGGTTGAATTATGATTGATGTATGGTTTCAGGTACAATTTAAAGTTTCCATAAGAACTGGGGAAGAAGCTAATGGAGACTGCTGATTACTACTATATTGGACAGAACCAGCAGCAGCCGGGTTGCGGCCTGATGTGGTACCGGTCAGCGCCGACCTCGTTGCTCCAGAACCATGTGGATGCTGGTACTAGTACCGGTGTTACCGGGAGCGGTATCGATTTCGGTGAATTCGAGGGTTTTCGATCTTCTTCGAGCCATGAAATGGAAGCATTGTTCATGTTGTCCGCTAATAATGGTTCATCTGTGAAGCAAGAAGATTATCATGTTCAAAGTTTGCCAATGCGGGGCGTTGGTAATGTTAGTGCTGTTGAGGGTTCATTTGGCGTTGGAGGCGATGTGGGATTTGAGAATTCAATGGGAGCACCCGAGATGAGCAATGGAAATGGTTCAAATCTTGCTAGGCAAAGTAGCTCTCTGGCTCGGTTTTTCTCCAACCAAGTCATGGATAAGGGTACTTTCCCCCTTTTCTTTCTCTTGCTCTTAATATTCTTTAGGTTGGGGATTCAGTTCGGGTTTGAAAGATATGGTGGGATCGTATTAGGTTTGGAGTGAAAAATTCTCGACCCAACTTGAGATATACAAATAATTGCAATAATATTTTGATATATTTTTCAATTGAGTCTATTTTATTGAATAAAAGTAGAATTATATATGTGTGTTTATGTCGGATTGAGTATGAGTTTTCACCTAAAAATCTGATCAAATTTAGATCAGATGGAACTTTTCTAAACACAATCAGGTCGAGTGATAGGTAGAAGCTATAATACTTCAGTCAAGTTTGGGTGGACCAAAAACACAACCCGACTCGACTCATTCCCATTATACTTGTCACCTCTATTTTGTCTGGTTAAATGCATAATAGATCTTTGTTTTTTTAATTAAGGGTAAACTGCATATTTAGTATCTAAACTATCAATTTTAGTCCGTTCTAATGCTTAAACTTTCATTTTTTTAAAATCATACCTAAAATTTAATTTTTGTTTCATTTCAATATTCGTCGTTAAAAACTTTAATTTTTGTTTCATTTTAGTACCCCATTTAAAATTTAGCATCAAGTTTTGACAAAATTGAAAGTTTAGATACTAAAACGGACCAAAATTGATAGTTTAGATATTAAACACATTAAGTTTTTAACGGCAGGATACTGAAATGAAATGAAAACTAAACGTTAGGCATTGTTTTGAAAAAAAAATTAAAAGTGTAGGTACTAATTAAAACGAACCAAAACTGATAATTTATGTACTAAATACATAATCTACCCTAAAACTAGTAAATTTATCCCTCCCGATGTTAATTCCGTTCCCGGGTACAAATTCCATGTATTATAGTTACTTAAAACTAAGCTATGCACTTGTGAATGCTGACAGGGTTTAATGGAACCAAGAGTAGGGCTTGCAACGGTGAGGCTACATCCACTAGTAGGCTATACGACAAACATATAAGCTTATCCTCTTCATACTCAACAAACCCAATGCCTCAAATAGCCACGCACTGGATGACTGATTCAAGGAACAATGCTTCACTCAGTGGTCTGAAGAGGGCCAGAGAAAGTGGTGGTGGCGGCGACTTATTAAGCAAATTACCAACTCAGGTACATGACTAAAACTAATACTAATCGTTTTTCGATTCGATGTTCGATTTTTCTTTGTTTCGATTGATGAATGTACTCGTGTGTGGATATGAAACCAGAATCGGGGCTGCGGAGATGATTTTACTGGCGTAAAGCACCATTTGAGTTTGGCTAAGAGTTGCTATGAGATGGATGTGGTAGACAATTATTGGCAGTTTCAAGGATCGGCCCCTTGTAAGATTCGAGCCAAAAGAGGCTGCGCTACTCACCCCCGCAGCATTGCCGAGAGGGTAATATATATATTTCCATATTATTTAAACTTAATTGATAAATAAATGTTTAGATTATTATTTTTGTTTATTTTAGGCGTCTAATATTTTTTATTAAAATAAATATTTAATGGTTTTAAAGTTACTACTTAGGATGTATGGTCGATAATGATCGTAAAAAATATTATGTATCAAAATATTTGTTATCCAATCAATACTTGATATATAATATTTTTTTAATCTCTTTTAATTTTATTCTTTAAAAAATTAAATAGTTAATTATTTTAAAACTCTCTAAAATCCCTAAATTACCCAAAAATACCTAATTTCCCTAAATATCTAACCCCGAACTATTTATATGGTACCATCAAATCAACAACCACCTATCATTCTTTTTATTGTCGTCGTTAAACTCAATTGCACAAAATTATTTTTTTACGAGGCAAATCTCTGATTATGTGCTCGTTATTTAATCTCTAATCTTCAGAGAATTTGAGATTCAAGGGTTTGAAAAATTAAAAAGTTCGTGATTTCTTTAAAAGTTTCAAAATTTAATATTTTTCTATATTAATAAGAAATTAATGTCACGAAGCAAATAATCATTGATTGACATTATTTTAATTATTATTAACGAAATGACCTTAAAATGCAAAAGATATAACTAGATCATTCATTTTGCATGTAAACTAAACCTTTTATTTATCTTCTTTCGGATTTGGACTTTGATTGTGTTGATAATGCAAATCTATAGGTGAGAAGAACGCGGATCAGCGAAAGAATGAGGAAACTGCAAGGCCTATTACCAAACATAGACAGGGTAATGTTTGTATCCTTTCTCTCCCCGTAATTAGTGGCATACCTATGATTTTATTGTTGGGAAATAAACCAAATAATTTCCCTATAACCAGATTAGTGAGAATGCGAAATAAAAGCGGAAAAATAATACTCGAAAATTGATAACGGAGTTCAGCCAATTGTGCTTACGTCTCCGGGCTGCTGCAGATCTTTTACTAAAAGAGAAAATTTACAAGTGTTTACAAAACACTCACTACTCACAAGAAAGCTCTCTAGTATAGGAAGAAGGAAATGTTTTGGGATAATTTTGAAGCTAAATGGGTAAGGGTATTTATAGTAGAAACTTAGGGAATAATCTTTGAAAATACCCTAAAGTGCAATGACTAAAGTGAATTTACCCATTCCTATTTTCAACAAACATCTACCAAAATTTTACCAAACTTTGAAAAACATTTTTCAAAGAAACATTTACCAAACTTTGAAAAAATATTTTCCAAAGTTGGTTGCCAAACTTTGAAACTTTTAACAATCTCCCACTTGAAGACTGATTTTAATATGTCTTCACACCTTGATCAATGCAGCAGCATGTCTGGTCTTGTTATTTTAGCATGCCAACTGAAGCTGAACACAACTTCAGTTTGTCCGTAGTCACCGTCTTTGTCAACATGTCTGTCGGATTTTGAGCTCCACTAATCTTTTCAAGTTTCAAAATCCTATCTTCCAGAAGAGACTGGATAAAATGATATATCAATTGTATGTGTTTTGTCCTGGAATGAAAAGACGGATTCTTTGCTAGATGGATAGCACTTTGACTGTCGCAATACAAGACATTGTTTTCTTGTTTCTTGCCTAACTCTTCCAAGAAACTTTGGAGCCAAACCATCTCCTTGCTGGCTTCCGTAACAACGACATATTCCGCTTCAGTTGTGGAGAGAGCAACTATCTTCTGTAGTTGAGAAACCCAACTCACTACGGTTCCTCCTAGAGTATAGACATACCCTGTAATGCTTCTTCTGATGTCGACATTTCCAGCTAAGTCAGCATCTACATAGCCTGTCAATATCGTATCTCCACCTTTGAAACAAAGTGTTTTGTTAGTGGTACCCCGCAGATATCTGAGGATCCATTTGACTGCTTCCCAGTGTACCTTGCCCGGATTATTCATGTACCTGCTAACAGCTCCCACTGCTTGAGCAATATCTGGTCTGGTACAAACCATGGCATACATTAAACTTCCAATTGCTGAGGCATACGACACCTTCACCATGTGTGCACGTTCTTCCTCCGTCTTTGGTGACTGTTCTTTGGAGAGTCTAAAATGAACACCTAAAGGTGTACTTACTGGTTTAGCATCTTGCATGTTGAACCTGGAAAGTACTTTGTTGATGTACTCAGCCTGTGTTAATATCAAAGTCTCTGACTTTGTGTCTCTCTTGATCCTCATCCCAAGAATCTGCTTTGCAGCGCCTAGATCCTTCATAGCAAACTGCTTTGACAATTTTTGCTTCAAGTTTATAATCTCTTGCATGTCTGAGCCTGCAACGAGCATGTCATCAACGTACAACAATAAAATAATGAAGCTATTGTCGAACCTCTTGATGTAGCAACAATGATCTGCTTGGCATCTGGTAAAACCACTGCTACTCATGAAACTATCAAACTTCTTGTACCACTGTCTAGGAGCTTGTTTTAAACCATACAAGCTCTTCTTCAACCTGCATACCAGGTTTTTCTTGCTTGCCTCTATGAAACCTTCTGACTGCCTCATATAGATTTCTTCCTCCAAATCACCACGAAGGAAAGCTGTCTTTACATCTAACTGCTCAAGATGTAAATTCTCTGCAGCTACAATTTTCAACACCAGTCTGATTGTAGACAGTTTTACGACTGGAGAGAAAATTTCATTGTAGTCAATGCCTTCTTTTTGCTGAAAGCCTTTGACAACCAATCTTGCTTTGTAGCGTTTTCACCCATCGTGCTCTTTTTTGATCCTGTAAATCCACTTGTTATGAAGCGATTTCTTGCCTGGTGGTAATTCAGCTAATTCCCACGTCTGATTTGACATAAGCGAGTCCATCTCATCTTTCATGGAAGACTCCCACTTGACTGAATCCTCCACCTGCATTGCTTCTTCATAGCACTCTGGTTCACCATTGTCAGTCAGCAACAAGTAGTGCAAAGAAGGCGAATACCGTTGGGTTGGTTTAGGAATTCTGGAGGAGCGTCTCAGTTCTGGTGTGCCTGGTTCTTCCTCTTGAACTGCTTCAGGACTGATCTGAACATCATTTCCAGAAATCTCCTCGAACTCAGCAAATTCCTTTGTTTCAGCTTCGGTATTACTTGATTCTGCGGTTGACCTGTCTTTGTACATCACATTTTCATTGAAAATGGCATCTCTGCTTCTGATGATCTTTCGATTTTCGTAGTTCCAAAACCGGTAACCGAACTCATCACCACCGTAACCAACAAAGACGCATTTGTTGGACTTGGGATCAAGTTTACTTCTTTCAGCAGAGTTTATGTGTACATAAGAAATACAACTAAACACTCTTAAGTGTGAAATGTTTATTTCTTTCTTGCTCCAAGCTTCCTCTAGTATTCCGCCATACAAAGGAACTGAGGGTCCACGGTTGATCAGGTAAGCTGCAGTGTTGATAGCTTTAGCCCATAGAAATTTGGACAATCCGGCATGTATCCTCATGCTTCTAGCACGTTCATTCAGAGTTCGATTCATGCGCTCTGCTACGCCATTCTGCTGCGATGTTATGGGAACTGTTGTCTCCATCTTGATCCCATTGTTTGCGCAGAAATCTCTGAATCTACTGTCTTTGTACTCTCCTCCATTGTCAGACCTCAACCGCTTGACTTTCAAACCAGTCTCATTTTCCACCATGGCCTTCCATTTTCTGAAGGTAACAAAGACTTCTGATTTCTTTTTCAGAAAATAAACCCACACCTTTCTTGTTGAATCATCGATGAAGGTGACATAATATAGTGAGCCTGCAAGAGATGGAACTGGGGATGGTCCCCATACATCAGTATGAACCAACTCTAACCTTTCTGCCTTGGGTGTCTTGCCAATCTTTGCAAAACTGACTTTCTTTTGTTTGCCAAAGATGCAATCCTCGCATAGTCCAACATCTACATTCTTTAGATCCGCAACTTCCCTTTTGACAGAAGTATCTTCATCCCTTTCTCGCTCATATGACCAAGCCTTTGGTATCATATGTTTGATTTTCCATCAGCATCTGCTACTGCAATGATATTCTCTAAATTTAAGGTTACATAGAGAGTACCAGTCTTCTTACCACGAGCAATGACGAGTGCTCTTTTGGTAATCTTCCATTCACAGCCTGAAAAGGTTGTACTATATCCTTCTCCATCAACCTATCCAACAGAAATCAGATTTCTTTTGAGGCTAGGAATATGTCTCACTCCTGTTAGCTTCCAGGTGGTCTGATTTGGCAGCTTTAGTTGGATGTCTCCTTTTTCGACGATCTTCAAGGTTTCATCATCAGCTAGATGAACCTTCCCAAAATCACCACTGACATAGTTCTCCATGATTTCTCGGTATGGGGTGGAGTGGAAAGATGCCCCTGAATCCAAGATCCATGATTCAATCGAACTGTTGACGCTTAAAATCATGGCATCACCTATCTCCTCCGTCATGTTTGCAGATTCATGTACGCTGATATTTTTCTTCGGTGCTCGGCAATCTCTTTTGAAGTGACCATTCTTGCCGCAATTATAACAAGTAAAATCTTTATTTCCTGTTCTTGATTTGCCCCTTCTGGATTTTGATCTGCCACGATTTGAATTTCTTTTGAAGTTCTCCCTCTAAACTCCGTGTGCAAGGCTGAGGAGGTTGATGCTTCACCCGATTCTCTTCATCGAATTTCTTCACTCAATACCAGATCCCGAACATCGTCGAATTTTAATTTGCTGTTTCCCGACGAACTGCTGACTGCTGTAACAGTAGCATTCCAACAGTCTGGTAGAGATGATAAGAGAATTAAAGCTCGAACTTCATCATCGAACTCAATTTCCACTGAACTCAACTGGGTTGTGATTATGTTGAGTTCATTTAGGTGTTGTGCCACCGATGCCCCTTCCGCCATCCGCAAATTGAATAATCGCCTCATCAAATGAACTTTGTTTGAGGCCGATGGCTTCTCGTACATACTGGAGAGAACCGCCATAAGACTCGTCTTGGTCTTTTCCTTTGCTATGTTAAAAGCAACATTATGGGATAACATCAGTCGGATAACTCCAAGGGCTTGTCTGTCGAGAAGAGCTCAATCTTCATCCTTCATGCCCTCTGGTTGCTTTCCTGAGAGAGTTGATATAGATTTTTCTGGTACAAAAAATCTTCAATCTGCATCTTCCAAAAGCCAAAGTCCGCACCATCGAACTTTTCAATTTTCATCTTCCCTTCGTCTGCAGCCATCGCTCCCACTCGAATCTGGCTTCGTTTGGATCGTTTCTGACAATTCTTGCGAATCACCGTGTATTAGAACACCACCGTCGACAAACTCGTATCGCCGATCAAATTTCACTATTCACAAAATTCACTATTCATGTGAATAGTAATGAATAGTAACTTCGCAGAAAATTTGACAAAATTCACAACCAAAAGCTTTGATTACCAGTTATTGGGAAATAAACCAAGTAATTTCCCTATAACCAAATTAATGAGAATGCGAAATAAAAGCGGAAAAATAATATTCGAAAATTGATAACGGAGTTCAGCCAATTGTACTTACGTCTCCGGGTTGCTGCATATCTTTTACTAAGAGAAAAAATTTACAGGTGTTTACAAAACACTCACTACTCACAAGAAAGCTCTCTAGTATAGGAAGAAAGAAATGTTTTGGGATAATTTTAAAGCTAAATGGGTAAGTGTATTTATAGTAGAAACTTAGGGACTAATCTTTGAAAATACCCTAAAGTACAATGACTAAAGTGAATTTACCCATTCTTATTTTCAACAAACATCTACCAAAATTTACCAAACTTTGAAAAACATTTTTCAAAGAAACATTTACCAAACTTTGAAAAAAATATTTTCCAAAGTTGGTTGCCAAACTTTGAAACTTTTAACATTTATGTTTGGGATGAAAACAAATTTTCAATTGAAAATACATAGAAAATATCTAAAAATTATATAATAATTTTAAATTTTCAGAGGACCCCTCGATCCATCCCTGTCCATAATCAATGGAAGTTTCTCATTTTAGTGTTTCATGTTCAGGTCCGGCAGCAAACAAACACGGCAGACATGTTAGATATGGCAGTGGAGTACATTAAAAATCTTCAGAGGCAGCTCAAGGTGTGTGTGTGTGTACTATGCTGTTATGAAATATGAACAAGGCACGCTTCTTGTCATGTAAATCATGTTTATGTGTTGTTATTATTGCAGACATTGAGGGATACCAAAGCAAAGTGCTGCTGTCCAAGCAAAACCCCAGAATACAGATAGCAATACAAATAGTATTTGGAATGCAATGCATTGAAGGAACAACAGCTTTCTAGGTTGGAATCGAATTAAAATAGAATAGAGTAAGGATGGGAATGTTACGCGACTTGTAATTTGTGATTGTGAAAAAAGTAAGAGATTTTAAAAGGGGTCAATTTTACTAATCGGCCACAAACCATGAATCCATTGACATTTAGAATATGGATGATCGTTTAATGCAATAATATTGATATTATGAGAACTCAATCGGCAGAACAATTTAGAATATGGTCGTTTAATGCAATAATATCATACCATTGACATTTGATATGCCATAACATCAATCATCTTTCTCGCAAACAATTATTTAAGCCCTTGCATGAGGATCATGTATGTTTTTTTTTACGTAACAGGAACCAGTTTCTCATGATTTCCTTTCAGATTAATTACTGCAAGCTCTTGTTCGACAAACTCACCTGCGCACACGGGTGGATATTTGCTACCGAGGGGTGATTCTGTAAAGTGTCCGAGCAGCTTTAACACGGCATCGGAAGCTATATGCGCAAACAACTGCACGGAAATACCGAAAAATATGCATCTTAACAGTAGCTTCATAAGGTATGACATTGTTTAGTTCACTTACTGTTGAGGATACTCTCCATAGGCTCCGATTTTGCTCCGATGCTATGGTCCGCTTCGTGACAACAACTTCATGCATGCCAGCAGTGCACTCACCAGCAGTCAACCATTCTATCTGTACATGACAGAGAATGGTGATGAAATACATATATGAACGTTATGCATCATGCTTAATAAACCAAAGAGAACAAAGACTTAGAAGACATCCTATTGGAACCTTCACCTCGATCTTTTGCCCATTCCTTAACAATACCATCATTATCGTCATCAAGCAATACCAATTAGTGCTCATGTTCTAACCTGCTTCCCAGGTTGAATTAGAAGACATCCTATTGGAACCTTCACCTCGATCTTTTGCCCATTCCTTAACCAGATATTTAGACCAGGGAATCTGCTTCTTCCATGAATAGTTAGAAAGTTAAGGTCATAGTGGTAGCCTGCGAAAACAGTGCCCTCCTGCTCATAACGTCTGAGGTCACTCCCTGTAGGAGCTAGAAGATGCGGCCCCTGGATTTGGAAGGATAAAGGATTTCTTGTCACGTGCGAGGATAGATAAATGATAAGCTTCATAACGAAAACGAAAGACAACACGAACTGTTCCATGACTCTATTGCGAACAAAGAATATAAAGCATGACATGCCATGATTCAGAAACAAAGATAACAAAGCACTGAGAGATAAAGACTTTAATCCAGGTGGACCCAATATACTTATGTCACCATGAAAAAGTAGGGGTGTACAAATCTTACTAGAAAAGAAAAGAAAAAGAACCAGAAATGTAACCGGTAAGCCTGCATGCCTGCCAACGAATATTTAAATAGACCATTCACAATCTTCATTTTTTCTATATTATTCCACAAACTCCATATCACAAGAATGAACAGCAGTAAGTTGAAGGCAAACAGCAATATATTACCGAAAAAAGATTGAATTGGAAACTGGTTAAAATTACAAACCTGCTTCATAAGGGAAGTAAATGCATCTGTTGGCAACCCAAATCCAATTGCTGCCATTTCAGAAACAGCCTAACAAGAATAGAGACATCACACTCTAACTTTAGTCTTTAGATAGGATGGATCATATAAAAGCAAGAAAAATCAAATAAAGACTCGACTCTATTGCAGATATCATTTTGTACCCCCATGTGTCCATGGTCTCTTTCCATTAAGGGAAACCTTCGGGTATAACAGGTTCTGAATTAAGTTCCTGGAAGGGAAGAACGAATAAGATACTGAAAATAGTTAATATTAATATTTAAACATTTTTGTGGGAGACGAGCATTGAGGGGAAATAAAGACCTGAAAGCGGGTCTTCAAAGGGCGAGGGCCCGGCCCACTCTCCACATGTATGGCCATTTGGGATCAGGGCCCTTGGGGGTTAATGGTTTGTTTTCTTTGGGCATTTCCTTCAGCTTCTCTTGCATTTCTTCATCAACCAAGCTTCTTGGCATCTCCACTCCCTCAGGTGTTACTCCTACCTGTAATCTCCATTTCAATAAAAAAAATAAACAAGTTGTTAATTCGTTTTAACTCCAATATAAACGAACACTCAGGTAAAAAACTACGAAGATTTCACTTTAATTGAACCCTTTAGTTAGATGGAGATTTTAGCACCTTTTCCTTCTGTTGAAAAAAAAAGTAAAAGAACCAATTAGAACAATTTGTATAATATTTAGCTATGTCATATGACAGCACCCAGTAAGGCGTGAAGAAAGAAGTTTTAAAATTTATAAATTTCTTTATACTATGCTTGCAACTTGAATCCGAAAAATTAGAGATTCGTATTTCAAATGCTATATAAATTGTGAAAATGAAATGCATAAATTAGTTAAAGCTAAATTTACATGTATTTCATCACATTTGTACCATTTTAAAATCCAAGTTCCTAGACATAACCTGAATGTTGTGCTTGAACTTCATCTGGGCAATTAAATAAACATTTTGTTCTTTTTCCAAAAACTTCCTCTGTTTCACGTATCAATCATTTTTTTTTTTGCTTTCTTATCTTATAATTCTAAGAACTCAAATACACACCACACATATCAATCGAATTTCTTTTGCTTTCCTATCATTAACTTACTTTCTATACGAACATGTGAGCGGCTAATCAAATTTTAGCAAGCATCCAAATCGCAGTTCTTCGGAGGCCAATGCATTCAAAACTCTTAACACGAAGCATAAAAAAAATATAATTCGTGGAAAGGTATGGAAAAAGCGGACCTGATAATGTAAAAAGGGACGCTCCTGCAAGCGCTTGAACTCAGCCGGCTTCTCGAAGTACTTCTCCATCATATCAATGAACCTATCATTATCTTCCGCCATACACCGTGGATCTTTAACAAGCAAAGCTCCAGTTTCCTTAAGGATCCGACTCACCTCGCGGCACAACCCGGGGAGTTCACTCGGCGACTCACCTCCAGCAGCAATCTCCAAATAAGACGCTGGATCTATCACCGGCAACTCCATCTCTCGGATGTTGCTCTCCCTTCTAAAAATAAGTCCGTGAATTTGAGAGCTCTGGATTTTAGTTTTCTGCTTCTTCTCTTTTCCTTTTCCAGAGAGTATATTGTTTTATTATGGAGTGGGAGTGGGAGTGGGAGTGGGAGTGGGAGGAAAGTATTATTGTGCGCTTGTTTCGGGTGATGGCGGGAGAGGGTTTTATCGGGTGCGGCGGATCATAGAAGAGCAAGCTACGCCAATCCAATGAATTGTGAACGTGTGCCTTGATGAAATTCTTGTAATCGACTAACCACTTGGATAGAAGCCCGGTGCTTGAAGTAAACGTTTACTCCTAGAAATTTTAATTCTATAAAATTAATTTTTTTAATTCAATTTTAAAATTAAAAATTTTAAATTAACTCATAATAATAAAATATTTGTTTCAAAATACTTAATGATAATTATTATATTTTTTTAATATTTTCAATTAAACTCTTATTTATCGAAAAATAATTATTTTCTTATAATTATGTTAGGTCATTAAATTCGAATAGAATTAAATCTCTTTAACTCAAAGCCGAATTAGCTTTAAGATGGAGTGATATACTTATCAAATCCGAACGGATTAATCAAAGAGTTTATCTAACCTGCCTTACAAGTTACAATCATCACTAGACGACATTCTGTAATTATTAGAGTCGAGTTAAAATTAAATTAAAAGTATTTTTATAAAAAATATTATAAATTTGTCCGTTTCATCTCAAATATATCCTTAATTATAATAATTACGCGTTAAAAAGTTATCCAAAATCAAAATCAATTATATGAAGAGCAACGGAGGAAACTAATTAATCAATTGAATTAATCTCGTAAAATCAAAATTAACTTCATAAAGAGTAATAAAGGAAACATGTTAATTACCTAATTAATTTCGTATTTATCTCTTACCAAGTTTACCTCGTCGTTCACATTGGGTTTCCCTTGGTTTATTTTGATTTTTTTAATAAAAGCTGGCTATTCTTGGTTCAAATAAAAAAGTGCACGTTTGATAATTTTTTCATAAAATTTTGATAATAACAATTGTCAATTAAGGGTTAATATTTAACTTAATTTAATATGATTCTATAGAACCAATTTTTTTCAAAATATAATCAAATTTGGATTAAATTATTTGAAGAATGAAATTGAATCAGATTTAGGATAATAAATATCTAATCAGAGAAAATAATATAATTATCTCTTAAATTATACATATATTTCATTTTAGTCTTATTTAATATATATGTTTGTGTCCAGCGGAATGCAAATTTTTATCTCAAAAATCGAGTTAAAATATTTTTTTATTGTCCTCCCGATTCTCAAGCTTCGCTTTGACTAATTCGAAACTTTTGAAATAAAAATATGTTTATGGTTTTAGCCCTTTTATTGCTAAAACATGGTATTAATATTTTTATTTTATTTTTTTCATATAATTCGATCTCATTATTTTTATAATGTCATTATAAGGTTATATTTGAGAAAATTATTGATTGCAACCGTTAAATAATCGTTAAAAATAAAAAATAAGTTAAAACGACTATATTATGATTGAATAGAATATATTGATGGTAATTTTATCCGCATTTGATGGGTTTCAACATAATTCCATCTAATCATGTCGGATTCTTTTAAAAAAATGGGTTTAGATAGGGTTTAGTTTTTTAAGAGATGAGGTTAGGTCGGGTTCGGGTGGAGAGTGAAAAACTTCGACCTGACCCAATCCGAGGATAATAATTTATTTTTTAAATATTATTTTTTAATTAAATATTTGTTTATACCGGGTTGGTCGGATTTATACTCAAAAAAATTAGGTCGGGTTAAGAGTCGGTTAAAGGATATGTATTTTTCGGATTAGATATAAGATATAAAGTTTTTAGGTCGAGTCGAGTTCAAATAGGAGATGTATATTTTCAAGATTGACAAAAAAACCCAAACCTTATCATCCCTAACAGCATCTCATAAATTAAGTAGGAATATCAATCATTGTTAATTAAAAAATAGGTAAGAATGTATATAAGATTTTGGATAGATAGATTTCAACTTGTTTTTGTAAATTAGTCTCTCTTTTTTTTTAAAAAATAATTGAATTAAATTCGAATCAAAATTTTAATGATTAAAGTTAAATCATATTTGAGTTTAGGAAAAAAATATGAGTCAACACAAAATAATAATATAATATGTGATTAATTATAATAATGTCCATCTCTTTGTATTTTTTAGTTAAATCATATTTTATATGATAAAAAGAGAAGGCTTAATGTCCAAATAAGTGCCCAAACTATGCCTTTTTTTTATCAAATAAGTACTTACATTTTTTTTATCTATCAAGAGTCTAACGTTACAAACGTTACCTTTTTATGTGCCTAAGTCTTCAACGTCGTTAGTTTTCCCCGTTAAGTGTCACATGTCAACACCTAGTAATTTTGAATTTTTTATAAAAATTATTATAAAAATTATTATACTTATAAAAAGCCTAACTTTTCTTATATTATAAAACAACCCCAAAATTACTAAATCTTAATCTTAATCTGCCGCCGACGCCTTCTTCGGCCACCACTTCCGTCACCGATGTACTCATTGATATCATCCTAGTCATATGCCATTGTAGTTGTCACCGATTCATCGTCGAAAATCGCGGGATTACGATTTTCATCTAGGGTTTGTGAGATTTAAAACGTCAATTTGTGGTCGATTAATCGTCAATTGGTCACGATTTCATAGGGTTTATGGTCGTCGGGGGAAGGGGAGACCTGGTGGAGCTTATTCGACGATAAAGGGCGGTGATCGATGTGAGTTTAGGGGTTGAAATGAACATTTTCAAAGTTTATAGGTTATTTCAAAATTTATTTTTTTCTTTTTAAAAATATATACTTTAACCAGGTGTTGACACATGTCACTTAATCATCAGGTATTGACTCGTGTCACTTAACTGAAAAAATTAACGGCGTTGACAACCTGGCCTCCTAAAAGGTAACGTTAGGCACCAAATGAGCACTTATTTGGCACAAAATAAATAGTTTGGGCACTTATTTGTGAATTAATCCAAAAGATAATTATCTATGTGTCGGATCGAGTCAAGTATCATTTTTTTATCAAAAATAAAGAGATAAAATATATGATAAAAAATAAAGAGATAAAATATATGATCAATAAAATATGCAATCTAATTTGACCCATACTCTTCTCTTATAATAAATGGCGATGAAGAGTATAAATAAGAAGAATTATATATATTTTTTCTAGAGTTACTTTTTATTATTTAATAAAAAATTAACTTGAGTATTTGAGTTCATATAATTAAGTACCTGAGATCATTACAAACTGGGAAGGTGTGATATATCAATAACTTTATAAAAGGAAAAAGATTAAATTATGCAAAATTAAATAGAAAGATTAAATCTTAAATTTCTAAATAGAAGGGGGCTTAAATCGCAATTACATCAAGAAAGGGACAAAAATGATATGTCACGCGGGTATCCCATAATAATAAGTTAATAACATCTGCTTTTAAATTTTAGGTTTTCGAATTGAAAAAATTAGGGCGCGTAAGGCGAGGAAGATGTCAAACACAAGCTCCAGTCCGACGACCGCAATCCGGGCTCCAAGCGGCGGCGCAAACGTGACAGGGGCGAAGGCAGTAGCCGCGGAAGCTGGAGGAGGTGGAGCAGGAGTGACGATGAGTATGAGAGGGCCAAGCCCGCCGACGACAACTTCACATCACGACCAGCAATGTCCACCGACAGCGGCGGTGATCTACCCGGTAGCCTCCTCCGGGAGAGGTTTCCTTCCAACAAACCAACCTCGTCGCCCAATCATTCCTTTTCATCCGCATCCTCATTCTCGTCCCTTTGACAACCCCAGGCCACCGCTTCCCCATCCTACTCACTTACATCCTCCGCTTATGGGCCTCCCCCCTTCTCTCCATCCCAAGGTTTTTTCTTCTCCGTTTTTTTAAACGTTTATGATTTTTGGTTTCCAAACTTGAATCCCCACTAGATGCGAAAGTCTTTCAAATTCAACTTTTTACAAGTTATAAGCTGAAGTTGTGATACTTGTTTTAGGTTGCTTCATCGCCATTTTCAGTTTCTGAAACTAAAGGATATAAAGGTGCCAGGTAATATTTTTCATCTTTAAGAAAATTTGCATATCCCGTGTCAACCTTGAAGCCCCTTCTAACTTATATCCTTTGCTTTCTCCAGGGAGAGAACCAAAGATGATTCGCTTGCCACTGTTAGGGACCGAAAGGTAAACTATCACAGCTCATTTACCCTGTATGCTGCTTCAGTTACTGCATTTTCATTTCAACATTTATATACGTTGATTTGCCTTTGGATTTGATTTTCTTGCAGGTCAGAATAACAGATGGGGCTTCCATTTATGCTCTTTGCCGTTCATGGTTGAGAAATGGGTTCCCAGACGAAACCGAGGTTTGTATCTTCTTTTCTTTTCCGTGAATTCATTTTTAATTTAGCAAGGTTTAGGCATTTAGTAGTGGTTTATTTATTGTATTTACATTTTTGGTATTTTTGCTGTGGTAGTTTGAATGAAAAGGTATTGGAACAATTGAATTCCCATGTACCCAACAAAGAAAATATGATTAAATTGTACGCAAGATTTGCTTTTATTTTTCCTTTCTTGTACTTTGGAGGGGGTTTCCTTGTCATATTTAGGTTTGGTAAAGAAGACTAATGAATGATCTAGTTGCTTCTTGTTTTCATTCCTTCTATCATGACTAATAATATTAGTTTTGTCAGCAGCCCCAATATGGAGATATTTTCAAGTCTCTTCCACAACCTTTACCTCTACCTGTCACGGATGATTTGCCAAAGGACACTGAAGATAGAGAAGAACAAGTAGTGGAGGATAAAAAGGAGGTTCGTTCCTTTGTTGGTTTTTACTTTTCATGTCCCAACTTTTGTTTTCACTTTTATTATGTTTCTCGACTCTGATAATGATCTTGATAGCCATACGCAAAAAGCAATAATTATTGTAAGTCATTAAATGATATGAGAAAGATTTGTGAAGTTGTGTGTGTACGTCATGCATGTGTATAGCGTAGAGAGAGAGAGAGAGCGCTTGTGTTGTCTTCTGCAATGGTAACTAGTTTAGCAGTGTTGTCTTACAAATATAGAAGGTGACATCAATTTCAGAGCAGCTGCCTCTATACCGAAGTGCAAGTCATAAAATGATTGGGGGGAAATTTTCAAAGTCGTGCATGTCTGTGACAGAGAGAACTTTAAAGTGCCTGGTCACTGGTGCAATGGTAACTAGTCTAAGAGCATTGAGCTGAGATGTATAGGAGCTAAAATGTATTTGAGAACTGTTGTCTTTATGCAAAACTGCTATATGTGCGTGATAATTCATGATCACGGTTAGCATCCTAGATGACCCTGGCCCATATAATCAAAATAAGTTGAGAAGAGTATAGAGTTAGGGTCCTGACTCCTGGTTAAATTTTCTTATATATGTGACAATCTCGTAAGGATATATGCGAATGTTTCATTAGATTGAATCAATATATCATGTGAACATCACAGCTTCATCTGTGTCTAGTTTTTCTTAAATTTAAGTGACACACGGCCACTAATACACTGCTTATGAAGTTCTGTATCCTTTGTTCTTTTTCTTTGACCTCATTTGATTTCATTTTCGGGTTTACATCTAAGATGTTTTACCAGTACTGTTTTCTTCTAATTTTTGTTTATATTCAAGCTAATCTTGTTGTTCGCATATCATATACACTTTGTGTTGCTGTTGCTGTTACTGTTAATCCTTGATTAACTCCCTCTTCTGCTTATTTCTGATGATAAGGGTAGTTGAATGTTGATTGTTGATCACCATTCTTGCAGTAATTCTAAAACCGGAATAAGCAATTTGATGTGTTTTTCCTTTCTTAGACTGAGTCGATCCCTGTTTCCTGGTTATAGGATGAGCAATCAGTTGAGAATTTGTCAACACAAGATCTGTTGCAAAGGCATATTAATCGGGCTAAGAAGGTTAGATCGAGGTAAGTTTATTTAATTCCTTGTTCGTAATTTGGTGTAATAATTTAACTGCGGCGTCTCAAGTTACAAACATCAACCCGTACTTGTTTATTGTTCTGTCTTGTGATAGGCCTATATAAGAGCATATGATACATTCATTTTACCATCATATTTCATGTTATAGCTCATTTCATATGTGGGAAGTTACGAAAGCACCATGTGCTTTTATTTCGTTTAGATCGACCTTCCATCTTCATTTTTAAAATGTAACAAGTATGAAACAGGATGTCTGGACAATACAGATTTTTCCACCAGCATTCAGTTTGTTTTTCATCTATCCTAAAATAATACCTTTCGGGTTTGTTGTAAATATAACGCAGAAGTTGATCATGTACATGACTGATGACTGCTTGTTTTTGTCATAGATTACGACAAGAACGATTGAAACGAATTGTGAGGTACAAAACTAGGCTTGCACTCCTGCTACCGCCCCTTGTAGAACAGTTCCTGTAGGGAACTGATGCCGAAGATTAGCATCAGAAGGAACCAGCGACGTATCGGAGCCTCCTGGATTCCTGATGTGATGAGTATGTTACATGCAATTTTATGATACGGCCGGAAGGAACTACTGGAGTCTGGGTGATAGAGGCAGTGAAGCAAGTGTTATATTTGGTTTGATGATTTGGATGTAGAGCTTCGTATTCATTTGTTTCTGATGTGGTATTATTATCTGTGAAATGGTGTTCAGAATCAAGAGATGGATAAATGGTCCAAAATCTTTGAAATGTTCTAATTAAGTCCTCAAAATGTCATATTACATATCAATTAGGTACACATCAAACTATATATACGAGTGTCTTTGTCGATATTCATCGATAATATTTACCACAATTTTTGGTTATCTGCATCATCCATAATCAAAATAAAATAAATAAGAAAAGTGAACAAATAAAATAAATTTTAGGGTAAATTATGCGTTTAGTATTTAAATTATCAGTTTTGGTCGATTTTAGTACTTAAACTTTTATTTTTTTAATATTATATTTAACTTTTAATTTTTATTTTATTTTAATACCTACTATTAAAAACGTAACGTTTATTTAAATTATCAATTTTAGTCGTTTTATTTTTAAGCTTTCATTTTTGTTTCAAAACTTAACATTGAAGTTTGAACACTTAACATTAAAGTTTGAACAAAATACTAAAATAAACAAAAACTAAAGTTTATAAAATTGATATTAAAATGTAACAAAAATAAAATTTTAGGTATGATTTTAAAAAATTAAAAAATTAAATACTAAATAAATTAAAACTGATAGATTATGTATTAATCCATAATTTACCCTAAATTTTATTAGAAAAATATCACACAGGATATATATTTAAACAACTTTTGAATAAAAAGATCGAATATATATTATTCTCGTAGTTTAATGAATTTGAGAACAATAGTCAAATATTTACGCCTTGAATAGACATTTACTTTTTCTTGAAAAGATGCCTTGATTGGAATTTACATTAATGGGATTGGAGGACTAACCATGCACTCCGAAAGTTAAGGGGTATATGGAATGTATTTGGCTTAATTATAAAATAAGTACTAAAACTATAGCGTTTTCTATAAATATATGTTTAAATTATTTTGGGTAATTTTAAAAATTTAAAAAGTAAAAATTGAAATAATCCCAAAACTTTGAAAACCTTTATTTCAACCCCTAAATTTAAGAATGGCAAAAAAACCCGAACCCGAAGGGGAAAAATCGAAAACCGAATTAAACGGGGACAAGGAAAAATCATTTATGCTAAAAGGGGACGGGAAAAACCGTTTATGTTAACGGGGACGGGGACGGAGACGGTTTAGTAATCACCGCCTCGATTATCTGGCCGATACCCAGCCCGATATCGGGCCTGATAAATATTAAAAATAATTATTATATATATATATATAATATTAATAAATTTAAATTAAATTAAAAATATATAATATTTATATATTTAATTTAAATATATATACCCAACCCGATATCCGTTTAAATAATCGTTCTTCGCAATTTTTTAAGCGGGACGGGTACGGATTTTTTAAATGGGGATGGGGGACCATTACCCGGCCCGTTGCCATCCCTACCTAAACTCACACTAACCGATACCATTTGCCATCGATAAATCTCCATTTGACCTCACCGCCCCTCAATGACCAAAACCCCTATGAAATCGTGATCGATCGACGACGAATCAATTTTTATACCATGTGAACCTTATGATAAAAATAGCAATCTCCACCGATTATGACGGTCAATCGACGATAAATACGATGATGTATAACTAAAAGGATAACAGGAATACGTCGACAACGGTAGTCATGGTCATAAAGAGCGCGAAGTGGGATAGGATCAAATTGGGGATTTTAGGAAATTGGAGCTTTTTTTGAAATTTATGAGAAACTGAGTTTTTCTATAAATATAATAATATTTTTAATATATATTTTAAAATAATTAAAATTACTAGATTGTGCGGATGTCACTTAACAAATAAAATTAATATCATAAATAATCCAAACATCTAAATCAGTAATGTTTGTATCATTGAACATCGAAATAATTAAAAAAAAAGTTGAATTTAAAGGCGACACTAGGAGAAAAGTGAAAGTTTATAAATATATATCATCATCTTGATTTGTGCCTACAATATGTGCCACATATATTTTTCGTTTGGCTCTAATTTTTCTTATTATTTTCCCACTTATTTTTGACCCCATATTTTCTTTTTATCTCATCTATCCCTAACTTGTTTTCTACTTCTTTTCTCGTGTATATATATATATATATGTATACTTTGAATAATAGAGTTGATCGCGCAGGACCATAAGTAAAATTTAAGGGTAAATTATGCAGATAGTCCTTTATTTTTTTGGTTTGAGTGACTTTGGTCACCAATTTTAAAATTAAAGGGGAATGGTTCCTATCATTATCGATCCGTTCGATTTTAATCCCTCAGTCGTTAAATCTCGTTCGATTTTAGTCTCTCTACCATGTTAGGGACTTAAAAAAATGGTTAATGAAAATTAATAGCTAAAGGAATAAAATCGATCGATAATGTCAGAGATAATTTCTCTTTAATTTTTAAATCGATGATCAAAGTTGTTTAAACCTTAAACATAGAAGATAATCATAGTTTACGCAACCTTTTAAGCCTTTTAACTTTTTAGTTCGGTGTAGAAATTGCAATTTTCCACACTCCTAAATTAATTATTATTTTTTGATCCACTTAAACTTAATTTTTAAATTTAAGCTCTTTGAAAATAAGATTTTCTAGTTTTGGTCCCCCAAATTTTTAGTTTTATCTCAACGCCTCCTACGTAAGCCTTTATTTTCTGACTTCTGTGGTCTTTTTTATCCTCTTATCCAAGAGTTTGGATTGCACCAAAGATGGACATAGGTCGGATTTCGAACAACACGACCGGCCCAAAAATTTTATATCTTTCGTCTAACTCGACTCGATCAGAAAAATATATACCCTCCATCCAACCCGAACCGAACCCGATTTATTGAGATAAAATCGAAATCTGATCCGACCCAAATCGAAATAATAAAAAATATTATTTTATTCAATAAAAACAATAATTTAATTAAAAAATATATAGAATGATATTATTGTAATTATTTCTAAATATATAAAATAAAATTATATTTTTTGGGATAAAGTCAAGTTGATTATTTTTTTATCCTAAAACCGAATATGACCCGACCCGATCATCATCTTTTGAAATCCAACTCGACCCGACCCTAATTTTTTTTTAAAAAAAACCTAATCTAATCAAATATGATCAGGTCACAACTAGTTGGGTTCGGATCTGCTCATTGCACCGTGTTTTCTTGTGAATTTAATAGATTTATAATATTTCATTTTCCAAGGTTCACAATTTCCAACTAGTTTCCCAGTTTTCAAGTTTTCCCAGAAGCCAAGCAAACAAGACAAGTCGATACTCACCTCCAATAGAATCATTGTATGCGATTCTCTTTTCACTTTCCTTCTTGGTTTTCCGGTTTTCATATCCTCCTTCTTCTTCTTCTTCTTCTTCTTCTTCTTCTTCTTGTTTAATATTGGTCTTTCTGTTTATATCTTACAACTCAAAGACATCTTATCCTTTGTTTCCTTCTGTCAACGGTATGCATTCTTTTTTCCTTCGGGTTTGCAAGCAAAACGCGATTCCATTGAATTTCAGAAACACCCATGGTTGATTTTCAATGAAAAGCTTGTTTGTTGTTAATCCTTGTTGATGTTCTTCTTTGCATGTTGCTTTTTAGATGTGCTATATGACCGATTTGTTAAAAATTGATGGTTGGGGATGGGTGCTGTGAGTTCCAATGGGCAAAAAACATAAGCTTAAAGGGATGGGTTTGGGGTTGTTATGGTTTTTGGAATGATCTAATTTATTTGCTCGAAGAAGCAGAAACAGGGTTCGTGGTTAAAAGTCTAGAACTGATGCTTCCACCCTTAGTTGCATTTTGGGGGGTGAATTATAGTTATGTTAATTGGACCGGAGTTCGAGTGGATACGAGCATGTATTCGATATGGATATGATTAGGCTTTTTTAAGGGGTTTCATGCGTTTGTAGAATCAAATTATATCTGTATATCCATAAGTTGACACAAGTAATTAAAAGAAAAATGGAAAGTCCTTAGTAACATAGAATTTTGCAGCAGTCTTCATTGTATTGGAATATAACAGGGGATGTGATTAACTGAATCATCTGTCTCAACTGAGATTTAGAAGATCATATGCTTGCCTGATTTGGATGGCTAAAATATTATATTCCAAAAAGTTAGAAAAACCTCGATGGATGGGGTGATAAATTAGAATTCAATGAAATGACAGGATTAAGTATATGCTAAACAGTGAAATGTATAATAGAAACCAATGATTTGGTAAAGATTATGGAGAACGAAGTGATTAATACGATTTAAAAGACAGTTCTTCGATTTACATGTATTTGTTCTGCATTAGTTCTTAAGTAATTGTTCTGCTTGTACCGTGTGTTATTTGGAAATTCGACATCATGAAGCTTGCGACCTTTTGTCCCAGTCGTATATGCTAGTCATGAAGATCTTGTGGTATCATCAAATTTGCAATACCGAGTCTTGGATGCATCGTTTCACTATTAGCAGAAGAGCATGACTCACCTGTCTTCTTCATACTTTCTTCTTTGGCTCTCTCAACCAAGAATATTTTCCTCGTAGGTTTGGGTTGATCACAAACTACGTCTCTTTGCACATTTGGAAGAGGTTTACATCACCTCCCTGACTGTAATGAGTAACAGCATCGAGGATGATTCATTTTCTAAGCCTGTTGGAAGATGGTCTGTTTACTGTTATGGAGTGGGTCACATGCTAAATGACATCACTTCTGCTTGTTGGTTTACTTATCTTCTGTTGTTCTTAACAGAGATAGGGCTCTCCTCTAGGTATATGTCTTTCTACCTTGTCTGAAATTTACACCTTCGTAATTGCTTTGCATTATATTTTTCCTCTTTAATCTGTCATTTTTATCTTTGTTTATCTGAATGGCTTTGAATTAAAAATGATCCGGAAAATGCATATTGTTTATCTTATCTCGCCTAGAATTTGGTATTAGTAAGCTTTAATCTAGTAGTATAGATCACATCCTTGCCATTCATGCAAACCATTAAGAAAATTCCATCTTCATGTTTTTTTTTTTAAATTTTCATTTTTGTAGATGTCATGTGCCATATATTTTTATTTGATTTGTGTAGGGATGCTGCCATTGTCATGCTTTCCGGACAGATAGCGGATGGTTTAGCCACCATATTTTTTGGT